GGAGACGTAACAAACTTATTATGTATTTTAAGTAGTTTGGCTTCCTGTCAATTAGAAGTGAGTAGTAGTGATTGATCGAAAATTAAATATATATTTGAACTGAAATGTACAAAAATTGCATCATTTTCGCAATTTGAAAACGTATCTTTGTTAAATCGTCGAGTTACGCCAGAAAGGACGTAAATATACATTAGTAGACATTTTACACAACATATTAAAAGCTTATCAAACTTTTTAAAAAGGTCTAACGTTAGGTCGTAGAATAATATTAAAAGATAGTATTAAATGCTGTAAGGTTTAGCCCTAACTGAACTAAAGCCAAAAACATACACAAGTTACAGTGTTAATTTATCTCTTTATCGAATATAAGCCGTACTTAATAAAAGCTTAACTAATGTTAGAACTAAGATAAGTGGTCTTATAGATTTCGGAATCTGCTATTAGAATCCTGTCTTTAAAGAAGTATTGTTGCAATTAATATACTAATTTGACTGCAAATGTTTTGCGAGTCTTTGCTAGTGCAATTATAAAAAAAACAAATTTCAAATTCAGAAAAATGTTTCGCTAAAAACAAATTGCGAGAAATACCACATGAACTCCCTCATAAAGTATAGGAGTAAACAGTACCTCTCACATAAACACGTGAAAACCACGATGGAGAAATGACCTTCACACAGAAAAAAATTTAACATTCCAATCGGCGTTGACAACATAACCTCATTTTAACCAAAAACTGGTATGAATTGCACCAATTTTCGGTCGTTCTTACTCACGAAATCACAAAATATAGCACACAGATATACGCAGTTAACTGACAAACTTTTCACTTGACAAGAAAACCTCTCGGATCATCAATCAGTTTACTTGGTAGATATTTTGATTTTGGGCGGCTGGAATTCTTCTTTATATAAGGCCAAAGAACTTTCGTCATGTTTTCAGATTGTTCTACTAAATTATAGTTAATTACTGTCCATCGCATAAATACAACTGGATGACGTAAAAGTCTGGCTTGACCAATGACGATTCTCCTTTTTGTCGGAGAAGAGTAAAGCTCCACCCTCGTTGTGCCATGTACTTAAGACCACCATGTTTGGCGCTTTTCCGCTGAGTTCCAGAACTCGTGGGAATTTTCGGCATTTCAGTATGATATCGATCATGGTTTTGCTATTCTGATTTTTCAAGACACAAATTGAGGATTCGGGACACTGTTATGTAGAATCGGAGCACGGTTCCCGTTGTGTTAGTGCCTTGCGACGACTCTGGGGAAATCAACTTATCTGAAAATACAAAAAGTAACTAGAGTGAAAGAAACTCAACGACTTTCTTGCTCACGCGTTATGTGAAAATTTCACACACCTGAATAAATGAAAAATTCTATATTTAAACAAGAACATAGAAAGTACAGTACCTTGGGGGCATATCATCTGCTGATGGCACCCCCATAAATTACAAACATGAATAAAAAATACAGTACCCTGTATAACAAGTTATATCTCCCTTTGAAAATAGGAGCATCAGTAACATAAGCATCTCTCTAGTCATCTGCAGGTGCCTGTCCACTGTCTATTAACCTACCAAAGTGGAAAAGAGAGGTATCATATTTGATCTTTCATCTATTTTATAACCTTGGTGAAAACTTTGTTTGGTCCTGGTGCTTTGTCTAATTACAATCTTCCACTTACGCCCCGTTGGCTCAGGTGTAAGTTTATGGGCTTATAAAGCTAAAAATAGGGTTTCAATACCCACAGTTGGCAGAGTACAGATAACTCATTGTGTGTACCTTTATGCTCAACAATAAACAAACAAAAACGTAGAGAAATCACATTGACTAATAGATATAAACTTTATTGGAAAAAGACTAACGGATTGCAACCTGAAATGACAAAATAATCCCTAAATTTAAAACGGAATTTTGAAGTTAAAAATAAATTTTAAGAGTATATTTTTTGTGTCTAGAAATATACTATACTGTATAGATACTAACTACATCGTAACCTAATCCTGATAGCATACTTCATGTTAATAAATCTTTGGAAGAAAAGAAAACCTCGTGAGTACCAACAAAACGATACCAACTAATAACTTTCCGAACTTTATTCAAAATTTAGGATTATAATAACACACTGATTATTTCTAAAAGCATTTGTATTACAGTTAATACCTCATTTCACTGAAGTAGAAAAAAATATGCATGCCTTGCAGAGTCAAGCATAAACTAACACAAATAATATTTAAATTTTAACAGAGAGCGCTGTTCTTCATAGTCAAATAGTCTGCTTGCTGGTACGTACATGGGGGGGTGGATTTGTTTAGACTTAGGTTGAAGTGGTTGTATGTTGTGGATACAGATTAACTATATTACAGGTATAAATTCATTACAGTTTACTTATTTGATCTGATATAACACATAAATATATGATTATGTCTTTTTTATGGTAAACAAATAACATTTTCCTCAAAATAATGTTTTCTAATGTGATACTGATAGTACTAGTAGTATTGTTAGTCTACAGACTATAGTCGATAATTTTAAATAAGTATAATAATTAGTATAGAGTATAGTTTTGTAATAGTTACTAATACTATAAATATAATATTTACGATTATTTATTTATAACTATAATTTGTTGTTTAGAACATATTTCTTTCAAACTTAGGTGGTCTGCATAATGAAAATAAATTTATTTATTTCAAATTTGAAAGAGATGGTTTACTAGCTGTGTGTTTAAAAATGTAAAGTGGATAAAAGGTAACTTTGTTAACGTTAAATTAAAAGCATTTTATTAAATTAAAAATAAGATTACTTTTCAGAAATGTTTAACTTTAGTTGCCTGCTGCTAAGTAAGTAAAGTGTTAATGATGTTAGTTTGCAGATAGCATATAGAGACATAAATTGTACATAACTAAAATGTCGTTTTCAGCTAAGTTTATGTTAACCACTGGACTATAATTGGGTATTAATAGTATTTTGATTTTAATGATATGAACATCTGAACTGAATGAACATTTTTATTTTTAGATCTAACATTAACAGTGTAAAAACTTAATGACAGTACTAAATCAGCATCAGCACAGAAGGATTTTATTACATGTTGTTTAATAGCGATTCTGTTTTTGTCATTATTATGAAGTATAAGATTATATTAATAAGTAAAGTGACAGAAATCCATTCAGCCCACTTTAGCCACCCATTCAGTTCAACAGCCACTAAGATCACCTGCAGAAGTTAACCTTTCATATCCTGTTAAGTTTTTGAATATGTTTAAATTGACACCACAGATATTCTGTTTATTCTGTGTATAACAAGTGTTTTAAATAAGAATTTTGAAAAACAACTTTTATAAACTTCAATGTTTTTGATAAGAATACCATAGAGATGCACCCTTTTCACAATTAAACTATATTATCTTTAGTGGAAGATAATATACCCTGCTTTTAACATATGCATTAGGATATTGTTGTGTTTATTGCTTTTTAGAGGAATCTTTATCATACGGAAACTTTTATTCCTTATTTATGCACATTGGGTTTGGGCTGTTTTGAAGTGGAGAAAGATAAAGATTAAAAGGGGTGTAGCTGTTTAACTTTCATTAGTAATTATTTTGGTGATGATTCATTATAATTTGTAGTTTTATATTTTTCATTGAATTTTAAACCGTATCTTTTAGTGTGATGAATTATCTCCAGTTTTGAACTCTTTCTATATGTAATGCTTTTTCCTTATGTTTTTATTGTACAAAATATAATTACAATGCTGCGATAATTTTAAACTATTGGTTAGTTGAGTGCTACTCCTATGATGGAAACTGTGGATATAGCAGTAATCTTGTTGAAAATTCCTTAGTCCACAATTAAGTATTTTTCTAAAAAAGGGTGGTCGAGTCAAGATTTCTCATTGTATGTAGTGCATTTAGCTAAACACCTAAATAAATACTTATGTTAAATAAAATCAAACAGATTTTTAATATGAGATTTTGTTTGGTTTCAGAAAAGAAAAATGAACAAGGTGGATACTGATATAAAGTTGGTTGTTGAAACGGTCAGAGAAATTGAGGCACCTTTAGGAGGAACTTCAGTGGAATATGTAATCACTGGTACCTTTAAACAAAGTCTCTTTAATTCAAATTGTGAAGATAATGGAATAGTACATGTTGAGGTAGGTTCCTTAGAGTTGCACCTTTATCCATACATTGTATTCATATGTAGCTTAGTAGTCTTTCCACAATTTTTTGTAGTACTTTGAAACAGTTGCATAGCCAGAATTATAACATTGGGTATGCAGTGAACTATTTGAAGGCTATTCTAGAACATCATGTTAGGAGTATGGTGTAAAAGGTTCAATTTAGTGTGGTGTTACCTTTATACATCCCAGTATAAAGACATTTTAATGGGAACTGGCAAACAGTAAAAATATAAATTTGAAATGCACTTGCTGGTTAAGAATGGAAATAATCTATTTAAAAGGTACTATTTCATTTAATTTTAAAATAAATTAATTCAATATTTCAGTTTAAAACATTATAAACTGGTTTAAAAATGAGTTTTATGGGTGTGCACTGAAATTTTTATGGTTGTCAGACACACATGTAGCTATACTATTACTTGAAATGTGATACAAAAAGTTAGAGTAAAAACAAATTGTGTAGTTGTAAAGTGACTTTTTGATATCAGACTTGCTTTCTGAGTATTTGATATAATTTTTCTCAGTTTGTACACAATTTTATATTAGGTCAAGAGAGTAAGAAAGAGTAAGGTGATAGATCATTTGGCTGAAAATGTTACCTCTCACTCACTAAAGAAAAACAACCAAAATAAGTCTAGTCCCTCATGATAATATGTTTTTCTAATTAAAGTGTAAGAAAATTCAAATTAATTGTAACTAAATTTAAAAGAAGTCTTAGCAATAAGTTGTTAAGTTTGAAGATACTGAGTGCTGTTAGCATGTTAGATACCATTTGTATAACACAACCAATGGATAGCAAGGAACCATTTGGTGCTTGAAGGCTGTCCTTTCACACCTATGCTTGGGAAAAGTAAAAATTTAGACTTACCACTTTTCTTTTTCAGGAGATCATCAGTTTCCCTCCCAAGCTCCTGTAAAGTATTGACTTCTACTACTGTTGATGGCAATTTGTTCCATAAGTTAATAACCTTGTTAGAAAAATAAAACTGGATCTTAGCTTGATTTTTCCATATCTTGAACTTATGAGTTAATATTACAGTCTATTATATCAAAACAATGAAATAATTTACATAGAAAATCTTTGTCATGTATAGAGATTGTTAAATTGAATGAGGGGAAAGTTGATTTGTTTTAAGAAGTAGACTAAAACCTTCAAAATATGTGTCACCAGCTGACATACCTCTTCAACATACTATTCCCCCCCATGTCAATCCCTAAGGGTAATTGCCAGTTTTGTGACAAGTGGTACAGAGGTATAAGTGGTACAGAGGTACAAGCAGAAACACACACATTCACACTTTTGTCAAACAGTAGTTTTGATGTATCAGATGTGTTTTGATTGAGGTTCCTGAGATTTGACTTATATAAGTAGCTGTTGTTGTGTCTTTACTTGAAAGTGCTGAAATTCTTCTGGTGTGTATGTAAAGCTTTGAATTTGATAGATATGGCAATTGTCAAAAGTTTCTCCTAAGTTTAAAATTTCTTAGTTTTTATTTGAGCCCTCGAAAGGATTTATCCAGAACAAGCCGTATGGCATATTACCAAATTAAACACATTTCCTTTTGATATAGTTAATTATATGTTACAACTTTAGCATAAAGCAATTAAACGTGTATGACATAATAAATTAATTTCTGAATGTTTGAACTATCTCGCAGATCTCCAAAAGCTATAGAGAGTTTGAAGATCTATATGCAAAGATGAAAAAGAAATATACATCATTATGTCTTCCTGTCTTACCCAAAAGTAAATTAGAAGATCACAATGTGGTAGAAGAAAAAAGAAAACATCTTGATAATTTTGTCAAAGGAGTAGCTCAAAATAAGAATATTTCTCTTTCACCTATTTTACTTCAATTTTTGGGTAAGTTACCTTGAATTAATGTTGTTTTATATTTATTTGCAACATTTTTGAAGTACATGAACACTTTTCAGTAAAAATAAATAGAAAATTTACATTGTTTCTCACCTTTGATAGAATAAATATTGAAAATTTTTCAACCAGTATTTTAAGAGAGAGTTTCATTTCCCTGATGTGTTAGTGTAATCTGTGTTTTTAACTTCTTTACTCCAGGGTGTTATTTTTATGGAAACATGAAATTGGTGACACATGTTTATAGAACTAAATATAAGTTATACGTTGTCTGGCATATCAATAATACTAACTTGCATCAAAGAACACTTCTTTTTTAATAATCTATTTGCACACTAAAAACATAAGTCCAGTTTTCTAAGTATCAAAACAACTAGAATGTATATGATTACTTCAGTGGCGTGCAGAGGTTCTATGATGTCCGGGGCCTTGTACCTAAGACTCAATAAGGAGGGTATATAGGACCAAGTACTGAGAAATGTAAGAAAGGAAAAGGAAGGCATTTGAAATATGTAAGACAGATAAAACATGAAATAAACACTTTCTTTAAATTAAGTAAAAATTAGAAAATAAAAAATAAACACTTAAATCAATTTAAATATAAATCAGTATCATTTAAGTTCTACTCCCTAAATGGGATCTTCTGTCAGAAAACACTTGAACTATTTCATTTTTTACATCAACTGTGAGAAACTCTTTTTTTTTTCAATGCTGATTAAAGCCAGGTTGGTCAGTCGCTCTTGTGACATGGAAGACCTCGGATGTGTTTTTATTAATTTCAGTTTTGAAAATGACCTTTCACAACTTGCGATTGAAAATGCGATGGTAAGCAATAATCTGTATGCAATGCATATATCATCGGAAAAACATCCCTTCCAAACTTCAGTAAAGACTCAAGAACATCTTTAGGATCAGTGGGAACTGTATTCTTTCCAGCTCTAAGAAGCATGAGAAAGTCAACAATTTCATCATACAACTGAATGGCTGTCACATCAGTATCATAGAAATGTCCAAAATCCAAACATTCTTATTTTAATCTCTCTCTTTCTTGTTCATCTTCAATTATGATGGAATTCAAATTCAGAAGAAATAAAAATCGGTCACAGAGGTCTTGAAGACGAACACTGCGATCTTCAATTTCTGTTTTTAATCGGTTCACAACCTCTATCATTACTCTATTCATTTCTTGCTGTGTCGTAAGTCCATTATCTCTACCTGATTCTCCAGGCATCATTCTTCTTCTCCTTGTTTGTGCAATTGGTATTCCCCATTTTTCACAATATTCATTAGCTGAATGTATTGCATTGTGGATAATATCATCATTTTTCAAATTCAAAATTTGAATAAGCCCTTTTAGATCGCAAGAAGCTTCATGGAAACCCATTTTCGGATTCTGCAAACTTTGAGACTTTCTCCACTGATGACAAAATTGGGTGCCAAAAATTTAATAAAGATATAAACGTAAATTGTTGAATAGAGTGCAGGTGCAATCCTGCATCAGATTTGGTTTCCCTAGAAAATTCTCAGCAGGTGTTCAAGGCTTGCAATAACGTTATCGCGCTCTTCGTAGATTACTTGCACAGAATCGTGACAGGAACTCCATCTTGTATCACCTTGTCTTTTCATAGTCCTAAAGATAAATGATTTTAACACTTCCCAACGAAAAGTAGATGAAGAAAAACAGGTAAAAAGTTTTTCCAGAACCCCAAAAAATGTAACAACAACAGGATGTACTTCACTTGCATGGACACAGGCCAAATTGAGGCTGTGGTTCTCACAATTTACAAACACTGCTTTAGGATTAACTTGAAGAATTTTTTTTTGAACACCTCCCTTCACTCCAGCCATAACTGCTGCGTTATCATATACCTGGCCACGACAGTCCTTTATGGAAATTTTGTCTTCTTCCAGTTTTTCAGAATCATATTTGCCAAGCTGACTGCATCTTTTTTGTTGATTTGAAAAAATCCCAGAAATATCTCCTTCATTTCTACTTTGTTATTTTCGTCAATATGAACGTACCTCAGAATTTCGGAAACCTGATCTTCATGAGCAATATCTGGAGTTGAATCTAGGATTACGCTAAAATATTTTGCATATTCAAGTTCAGAAATTATTTTTTTTAACAGTTTCACCTAGAAGATGGATGATTTCATTTTGACTTCTGTTGGACAAGTATGTGACACTTTTTGGTTTCTCTTTCCATCTCTGCATGTGTTCGGCTAAGATTACATCATACTTGGCTAATAGTCTGATTGTTGCCAAAACGTTTCTTGCATTTTCATTGATTATCTCCTCTTACTCAGTTAATCTAGAAATTCCTTCTCCATGAAAGGCCAAATTCTGTTTCGCCAAAAATTATGTAACTTCAACAATCCGTTCAGTTATAGCTTTCCATTTTTTCTTTTCAGCAGACATTTGTTGTTGAAGTTCAGCATCTGTTGTATTCGAGCGCTGGAGTCGAACTACGAGGTTCAGGTATTCCCTTATATAAAATTTATGGGAAGGGCTTTTTTCATGGTCAGGTATTCGTGGATTCAATTTCCTCCAAGATGAGAAACCTTCTTCCTTGCTAAAGTTTGACATTGATGACGACTGCTCCTTTGCAAACAAAAAAAGAAACAAAACAGTAGCATGCTTTTCGATATGGGGAATATAGCAACCATTTCCGCTTCACAGTTTCTCCGTTTGTGGAAACTTTCTCAAACCACTGTTTGTAAAAGGATCTTCCATTTTTCTAAGTAAATGGACTGCTTTTATTTGGATATCTTTCTGGGCTAGGTTGTACTATTGTAATTTTTCAACTTGTCTGAAACAGGTTTCTTCAAATATCCAAAATCATTTCTTTCAAAAAATGTGCTGAAATCTCTATCTTTTTTACATAAATCATCATCCTGACAATGAGAATGAGGAGAGAGAGTATTATGTTCTGAATTAGCTGATTCTAAATCAGAAGAATCCTCAGATGCAGCTGCACCCACATTATTTTTTACTTCTACTTCTTCTTTGCTTCTTTTTATCCAGTCACTTAATGCGCCTCTTTGACAGGACTTCTTCTCTGGCCCTTTTTTTCTTTCTGTTCTGTGCTTCACTCGGTTGCTTTTTCTTCATCTGTGACACCTGAATTAAGAAAACAAATATTATGTACAAAAAATTACTAAATTCATATCAAAAACGAATACTATTCATTACTTTATTTATTAAAAATTAGTTATTTGTTCATAAAAACTTTAAAAACCCATCCGAATTGAATCCTAACTTTTATATAAAATTATAATATTAAAACTCTTTTTTTTTTTGTAAAAATGTGTATGAGATAGAGGCAAAATGTTTGCAATAGTG